ATATAAATTTGAATTTGTATTTGATTTGATTTTCAAATCAAATATTCAAATGTCAAATCGAATTGCGGAACCCTAGTTACGATATTATTGCGATATCGAATCGATATTGTTAGAATTTTAAGGGTTTCTGTAAAGCTAGTTTATGTACAGAAGATGATTTGAGCATTATCTTCAGAATTAGTGAAGAACAAACTTCCTACTTTTTACTCATGCAGTTGATTGGTACTATAATTACAAAAAATGCCCCTCCACATAATTCAACAGAGGACACATATCATTTATTTTGGGATTTAAATATCTGAAGTCTTCTTGAACTTCTAATCCCAGATGGTATATCTGTTCGAAATACTTCTCATAATATGAATACTGCAAATAAACAGCCTGATTATGGGTTTATTGTTGGTCAAATTTGCACTTTTAGAGGAGAAGAAAACCAGAAATGAGCAGTGAAGATCTAAAAGCAGAACTTAGAGATAAATTGGTTTAGACATATGGTGCTGCATCATATATTTTGGGATACTATGCTAAAGGAACAACTGTTACGTTTGTTGCCATTTGCCAACCTTCTTCTGATTCAAATAAACCACAAATCATCAATATTGTGAGTTCAAATCTAAGGTATAGAAAGGAACGCATTATTAACTTACGACGAATGTTCAATTTGGCCCTGCTTCTAGATCCATTCAAGGAAATAATTGGATGGCGTGATACACCTGAACTTCTTCTAATTCAAAAGTAAGTTAATAATGTTGATTTAGAGATACTTCATCTTCTTTATTTATAGTATATCATTTATATAATAATTTTTCTTCTTATCATAGAGATAATCACATTATTACTGTGAATCCCACAAATGTCAAGAAAGTTTTCATTGGTTTAAGTTCACAGATTCAAATTGAAAGGTTAAAAGTTATCTATGAGAAATTAAAGCGTAAAAATGTACTAAATGTTGATCATATTGTTGCTGTAAGTTTGCCTGATATAACAGAACCTTATTTGTATTTTGAACCAAGAGGTATGTGTGTCTATCCAAAAATAGAAAAAGAAGTGATTGAAGCTGTTTTATGCGTACTTGAGGCACATATGGTAGGTATCAATTAATTATTTGATTCCAAATAGGTATTTATATCTTAATATAATATTGATATTATTTTCTATATAGAGTATGTATGTTAGTGATCTTATTTTCCACCGGGATATCCGTTGGTCTAATGTTATTCAAAAAGCAAATGGAAATAAATGGTTTCTAATTGATTTTGATGATGCAGTTTCTCTTCCAACCTTGGCAGCAATACATCTTGCAAAGGATAATTATGCGTCAGAAGTTTTTCATGATAATCATGGTGGAGAAGTTGATGTTTGGAGTGTTGGGTATTTAATAGATTATGCAGCAAGATTATCAATTGGTCTCTCTGCAGAGATTGTAAATGTAGGGAAATGAATGCAGAGTGAAACAACATCTAGGTCATCTGCTTGGCAAGCTTATGAAAGGATCAAAACATTAGCAAATTCCTCATCATATCATTAGGTAAAAGATCAAACAATATGATTGTTATCTTAATCTTTATCAGCAAGATTTCATTTGTAATAGCATTTTTTTATAAGAATTTGTAAACACAAAATGGAAAATATAATGCATCATTTAAGCTAAAATGAAAAAAACTTGATTATATTAAATTGAATATTAATATAATAGATATCGTATTGAATCTTTTTAGTTACCACTAAAGAATATCTGCTTGTTATTCTTTTTACTTGAATTTTTTATTATATTTTTTCCTTAAAAATAAAAAAATAAATAAATAATTACTCTTAGTCATAAAAATTTTCTTTGATATAATAATGTCTTTTATCAATAAAAAACTGAATATTTTAAAAATATTGATTAAAAATTTGAATGGAAACTTATTGTAAAAGCTTACAAAGTAAACATAAAATTATATATATAAAAATAGATATATATGAAAAGTAATGATCATAATGATTCTTATTAATAAAAAAAATCTTATTTTAATATATTTTATTATCATTTAAAAATCTTAATATAAATGTAAAGAAAGCTTTTTTTTTTATAAAACATCTATACAATAAATAAAAATATTACTTATAAATATGAATTATATATTTCTATACATAAATTTATATACATTTTATATTAAAATAAACTTGTTTAATATAATATATCATTATTATTTATAAAATAACCTGCTACTATTATTGATACTAATTTTAATCATTTATCTATAATAATAATAGTAATAAAAAAAAACTCTAAATTAAACCTTTAATTTATAAGTCAAAAAAAATTTGGTTTTAGAAATAATTTATCATACTTTTACTATTATTAATACTATAATAGCTCTTTCAAATAAAATAATTATCTAGTAACTTTCTTATAATACCTATTCTATTAAATTATTAATATTTAAAAAATAAAAATTTAACTTTTTTTAGTGTTTTTTCTAATTCTTTCTTTTTAAAATTTATCTATATATAGCAGCTTTGCAATAAAAAGGGAGGAAACTCTAAAAAAATTAAAATTTTACTTTTTAAGCTAATTATGATTTTTTTTTTGTAAAATAAATCTAGATTTAACATTAAGTCAAAAAAAATTTTTTTTAGAGTTTTCTCCTTTTCTATTGCAAAGCTCCTATATGATTAATATTAATTTTTTTATAACAATTTAGAAGTACAAATTTTTAAAAAAAATTTTGGTAATAATGATTTTGTAATACTCTTTTATTACTATCTATAAATACTAATTTTTAAATTACTTAAAAAATAAAATTTTAAAAATTAATAAAATATTAATTTATTTATATTAAATAGATTTCTTAAACATTAAAATCAATATTTTTTATATATAATGATAGCTTTTTATATTATTTAATTTTATCTATTTCAATTACAAATATTATTAGATAATTGGACTTATAAATGATTCCAATATTTTATTATTTTAATTAACTTCAAACTTATTTAAGCAAATTACTTTATAGTTCTGCAAATTTATTATTATTAAGCCATTTTTCATGTATTTGATATATATTATTACCGGTTAAAAATTCACTATTGAAAAGTTGATCTACAAAGAATTATCAAATTATCTACTGAAGTTACTGAAATTAATTTTATGTCAATCACAAATTAGAAGATCTGCATAATTCTAGATCCATAGGATTCTTAGGATTCGTAGGATTTACCTGATAAACCTTATAATTTGAATAATTATTATAATGCTTATTTTCATTATTTTCATTATTATTTTTATCTCTATTATAATTATTATCTTTGTTATTATTATTATTTATTATTATATTAGCACTTGTAGTTAGTTTATAGTGTAGCAACTAGTTAGTCATAGCAAATTAATTGTGTATAAATAGAATAGATTTTTGTTTTAGTTGTAAATTAGCTCATTTATGAGTTTTAAGTTCAAAAAATAAATAAAGGAATCAACTTTAAAAACAATTACTTTTCCCTTCTACATGTTCATCATCTAGGATTTGATTGTGAATCACTACACTAACTTGCTTTTGAGTTCATCACTTAGAATAAACAAATTCTCTATGTTTTTTCCTAAGTCTCTAAACATTTAAGTTTATAAAATCAAGTAAAGTAATTCCAAGGCATTCTAGATACCTGTAGGATATGAAGACGTGAGATTCCCTAAGGTTGTAAAGTTCAACATTAAGAACTTTACTTGTTATAGTAAAGTAACTTAGTGAAATATGTGCAATACAAAGAGAATTATTTCCAGTGATAATATGATATATTATATATCTAGCAGATTTAGTATATTTTATATATCTGCTAGGATCAGCAGATTTAGCAGATTATATAGTAAAGTAAACATCATATATCAGATGATCTTTAATTACTTATTATAGTAGAATTAATAGAAAGTTAATATTCAGACTTTTTAAAATATCAGATACTATATTATCAGAAATTTCATATTCTTTTATTAATTGAACACCATTGAGATTTTAATCATATTTTTCACAGAATTTATTTTTTGATTAAAAATTAAGTTTTCCTTTTTTTTTAAGAATTATTATTATTAAAGTATTTTCTATTAACTTTTCTCATCTTTATTAATGTAAATAAAGATTTGAATATTTGTTATATAATCATTAGAAGCTATGCTATTAAAAATTGATTACAGAAATCTTTCAACAAAAAATGAGATTTTTAATTCATATTATAATATATTAAATGAATTTTATTTAGTTATATTTTTAGAGAATATTAGTAATAATAAAGCAAGCAATTAGGCTAGCAAAAATACTTGAATTTCTATGTAACGTCAATCAAAAATTAGATTTTATAAAAATGATTGATATAAATTTTAGAAATGATTGATAATTGATTGACATATATTAATAATATAATAATATTTTAATAATAGCAAAATCTCTCATGTTACAAAATTAATGTAACAATATTTTTGTAAAGTAGATTTAATAGTAATTTTAGATATTTTATAATTGCATTATTTTTAATATTTATAAAAATAATTATAATAAAATATTATATATAAAATTATTATATTGCTTTATTAATTAATTCAACTCAATATATTTTTAATACAATGTTTTATTGATCATTAATTACTCAAAATTAATTTACTAGTATTAATAGATCAGCTTTTATTTCTTTTTAAATTTCATAATTTTTTGACAATTTTTGTAAATTAATTGTTGGTCCACCGATCAATCAGAGTGATTTATAATAAAATTTTTAGGGCAATCATATATATAATAATCTCTTAATACGTAGTAATCACATGATATAAGTGACACAAAAAAAGTGTAATCTAAAAAAAAATTTAGCAAAATAATAAAATGAATCTAAAAGTTTTGATGTATTTAATTATAAAATGTTTTAATTTCTGCAACAAAAATTTTTATATGAAAGAAGCCGAAATTTGACTTGACTAGAATATAGTAAATTTCAAAAATTTTATTAATTTTAAATGTAAAATTATTATACTTTTCGCCACTTATTATTACTACCAGCACCAATGTTTTTTCCAAATCTTTTATTAGTTTTAAACTGGCCACTTTGATCCTGAGATTCACCTATTACTTTGTTCTGCTGATTCTTTACATAAGTATGCTGAATATCTTGTAATCTAACCTTTAACTGTTTTGATATTTGGCACTTTGTCTACCAAAATTTCACCACCTTCTACCAATTGTTTTAATTGCATTACCATATCTTTTGCAGACATCCGATCTACTTTATTCACATTTTCCACTAAAAAAAATCTTTCTAAATAAGTCTTCACTATTGCTGTTATACGCTTCCCACTACCTCTTTGATCATATTTATAGTTACTTCTAAGCGCCCACTCATTTTCTAATGGAAATGTATCATTTATGTCTACAATAATAAAATATTATATATAATTGATAATTTCGAATTGTAATATTTACATAATAATAAATAACAAAAATAAAAATACCTCTAGAATAGATTTAACTATTATTTGTTATTTCAATTGTGTTTTTATTTTTATTTCCTATAAAGTATTCACAAAATTATTATTATTATTTTTTTTTAAATATAGGATATTTGTCAACTGTAATGGTATCTTTACTCTGAACTGTGAAAATTCCATGCTGAGTTCGGTTTGGTATGAGTGGAAATATTAGGAGTTGGTTTATATAAAAGTTCTTCAACTAATTTTGAAACATCAGCTAGTAAATAACATGACTATGTGCCTATATGTGGTAAAATTTGAGTCTGAATATATCCAGCAAATAGACCTTTAATTGGCTATTCAAAATAGAATAATTTTGTAATACTGTGTATAGTTTTTATAGGTACATGATTACGTTTTAGATCCAAATGAGCGACAGAAATTCCACTTAAAATTTTAATTGCCTCCTTAATTTTCTCACCACCATTTAAATTATAGCCAATTTGTATATATCGTTTAATAGCATAAGCTATCTAAGAGAAATAGTTATTTATTAGCTAGTCTATTCTCAAGATTTCAAAATAATAATAATAAAAATTTAGTTTATAAATTAAATTTAGATTTACTTGTGCATAATGAGAGTCAATGCTAGTTTTAGCTTCATCAAGTTTAAGAAAATGCTATTTACAAACATCAATATTGTACCATTGATTCCAATTTGAAATAATGGTCATTAACTCTGAGTTATGATAATGCCCACTATTATCAGAAAAATTTTAATACACTTTGGTTTTGGATTTAGTATTTTAATAACTGCATCAAAAGATGATGTCATAAACCAGACATCTTGTTTAGTATCTGTAAACCAGTGATCAAAACTTTGCACATCAAGTTGTATAGAATCACGTCTCGTAAAAACCAAAATAGTGTGGAGTATCCATCTACATTTACCAAAAATTTTTTCTTTTATTTCACGTGCACATTTGGGTAGGATTCTCATCTTGTAATCACAT